TACACACACACACACACACACACACACACACACACACACACACACACACACACACACACACACACACACACACACACACACACACACACACACACACACACATCAACGCGCTCGCGCGCAATCGTACCTCTGTAAGAGGAAATTTGTTTAACGCACAACAACTGTAAGGAGCAACAAGAAAAAATGATGGAGCGTTGGAACTGGCATCTCGATTCGATTTGTGCTCGCGGAACTTGTAAACAATTTGCTTGCGCGCACATGTGTGCGTGGGCGTACACGTCTAACACTTATCCAACCTTAGAGGAGCGTATCTTATCATTTGTCCAATCCCGTCTTTGTATTTCGGTCGACACGTTAAAGTTTGCAGTCTGCCACCGGCTTCAAGGCGAGGCGAAGGAAACGAAGGCAAAACGAAACGTGGCACCCGTTTCTCCTTGCACGATCCTTCCGCACAGGGGAATCGTAACGTGGATGTAGAAGAGGAATCTCACGATCATGATCGATAAGATGTCACGCGGTGAAACTGATAGAGGATGGGCGTGGATAATAGTCGCCGGTGTCACTATCATCAATGTGAGTTTTCTCTCTATTTTCTTTATCCCCCCTTTTTTCGTTTCGTTTTTCTTGAAACAGCATTCGACGATTTTGTTCGTATTTTTGTTCATTTATAGATTGCACAAAGATGAATAAACAAATTTGTCACGTATACGAATTTATATGCATTTCAAATATTCAAAACAGTTTTGTTTTTTTTTTTTCATTCATTCGTAATGTTCGAAGGATTAATTAGTGAAATTATTTGAAATTAGTCTATTTAAGTTTTCATTTTTCAGATGTTATTAGAATTGGAAAAAAAAGCGATTAATTTCACGATTAATTAAACAATAAAGAAGAACATCGATTCTATTTGGCAAGTTATTGTGACATTATCAATTTCTTTTATCAAAAAAAAAAAAATGTATTTATAAATACAGCAGGAAAATCTCTGACTTATCGGTCATGGAATAAATATGTTGCAGCTAGCGATACTTCCTATACAACAAACTTTCGGTCTAATCTTTAGGGAACGTTTCTTTTCGCTCGGTATCACGGCCACACAAACGTCATTAATTGTTCATCTGAATGGTACGATCACGTGCAGCCTGGGTCTGATAAGCGGTCCAATGATGAAGAGATTCACGTTCAGAAAAGTCGCGTTTCTCGGCGGTTTCATTGTCATCGTTGGAATCTGTGCAGCTGCGTTCGCAATCTCCTTGCCCTCCATTATCATCACTTATTGTTTTATCGTGGGTGAGTAGTTTCTGTATGAATCGCTCCTTTGTCTTTTTCCGTTTTTCCATTTTTTTTTTCATCTTCGTAGAAAAGAAGAGATTCTCGAGAGACGAGAACTAAATAAGTGAAAAATTAATTTCTATAGGTATAGGGCACGGTATCATGTTTCCAGCCACGAATCTCGCTATGAACACGTATTTTCGAAGGAAGAGAAACGTCGCCATGGGATTGTCGGTCACTTTAACCGGTCTTGGACCCATCCTGATGCCCCTTTTAATCGCGAAATTATTGGAAAACTACGCGACCACCGGAACTCTTTTAATCCTCGCTGCCATATCCATGCACTCGTTGATCGGCGCGTCCCTTCTCAAGCCATTTAAGGAGGAACAAGTGAGTTTAATCACGTTTTGAATGTATTTTTCTTTTTTTTCTCCGCGAAAAAGTACGAGTTAAAACATACTCTTTATATACTGTTCACTGGTGGAAAGATGTCTGATTGATGAGAAGGAAACGCCTATTTTCACACGTATTTTTGTTTCACATATATTAACGCATTAACATAAGCATAGAATCGAGAGAATTCTAATGTATCGATATAATGTAAAAATTTTTTTATTTCTCATAATAATTATACATATACGAATAAACTAGACACTATGGACTATGGACAGTTTCGAAAGTATTTCAGCTTCCAGTTTTGGATGATTCTAATATAACTTCATAAATGAAAATAACTTAAATTGTAGCTCTTTTACTACTATATAGCGTGTGGTGGCAGGATCGTCAACAAAACGTCTGAAGTGGGGATAGGCGAAGCACCCCTCTTGCCCCTATGACTTCTTTCCAGCAGTGAACAAACGCGCTTTCCACGTTCGTTGCATGTGTCTTTAAGAAAACAGGTTAGGTAGCAATGATTAACCGTCAGATGTTTGATTTGTGATAGATCGCAAGTATAAGAAAGGGCAACGACACCGAAAATGCAGCGAAAGAAATTACCGTGAAATTAAATGTAGAGAATGGCGTCGATTCCAATCGTCGATTATTGGAAGAAGAATCGGAACGAAAAGGGAACGTGTCGAGTGAACAACATGGAGACGCGAACGTGGAAAGCGCAAAAGAGGAGAAAAAGTCAGCTTGGGCAACGATTACGGAACACATGGATCTTGCCCTTTTGAAGGATGCCCGTTACGTAGCCGTTATTTTAGGTAATTAACTAATTAGAATTCGATAAAATAAGAATATAATTTTTTGATTCGTTCAAAAATCGGACAACGAATATATATCGATACGGTTTCGATGGTGCATTGATAAAAAAAATATACGATAAGTATGTAGACAACTCGTCGAGTTGTAAAGTCTGAAACAGAGATAAGAGCACTCAAAGCAAAGTAAAGTGTACCACAATGTATTATGTACACAATAATTAAACGTTCGGTCGAAAAATGAAAGAAGAAAGAATTAATAAAATTAATAGTAAGTCGTCTAAAAATCATACGTAAATTTATCTCTAACAACAGTCACTTTTTGAATTGAAGGTATGGGTGTATCTTTGGTCGCGGAAACAAATTTTAACACGATGATACCTTTCGTTCTTACCGAACTTTCTGGACTGGAAAGGACCTCGATCGCCACCGTCATGTCTATCCAAGCGATCTCGGACATCACCGGACGTCTCTGCGTCCCACTTTTGGCGCAGAAGGCCGGTTGGACATCGAGGAATCTTTACGTGGTTTCCTTGATAGGATCCACCATTGGAAGGACCAGTACGTAAAAGCAACGTAAAATATTCGAAAATGAGAAATCGGCCCCTTCACGCCAACCGATTTACGATCTGCTGAGTGGATTGATTTCAACTTTATGGTAATCTGCAAAATTACGAGTAGGATCAATTTTTTTGAATCAATTTTTTTTCTTTTATATCTTCTATCTTACGTACCATTAGAAAGTATGTATATATTTATCAAATTCTTCGAAATATTAAGATAAAATTGGTATCAATGATTTTCACGTTCAATGTTTCAGTATTGTCAACTTGGGGGAATACTTACGTGGTGGTGATAGGTGTAGCGTTGATTATTGGGATCGCAAAAGGAACAAAAGCGGTCTTCCAAACGTTAATAATTCCCGATTACGTGTCTCTCGAAAGACTACCGGCTGCATACGGAATGCAAATGGTTTGCAATGGAATTTTATCTATCATTATTGGGCCATTTATAGGTAAAGAAATATTTTTAATTTTATCGCTTATAAATATTGCATAGATATGATTTAAATATGATTTTTTTTTACTTCTAAGGTTTAGTACATGACTGGATGATGAGCTACGTCGGTGCTCTCCATTTCACGTCAATTTTGAGTCTTTCTTGCGTTGTTTTATGGTATATAGGAGGACTTTGGAAATTCCGTAAAGATTCTACAAGAGAAGAAATGACTAAAGCTTAGGAAAAAAATACTACTTATCGATTCAATAATCTAATCGATTTTGAACGATTATTTTCATTTAGGAGAAAAGATAAAAAAATTGTATGATATTAATGACAAATTTTCGAATTTATATATATAAATAATTTCTAAAAATAAAAATTATGTAGAATAAATTGCGAAATTGCGAGAATATCATAAAGGATTAAAAGGAAATTTTATTTTCATTTTTTAAAAATTTTATACATATATTTAATCAAATTCTTCTTGACTGATCGTTTTGTAACATTAAATACAATTTTTGAATAATAAAAAAAAAACTTAAATGTTTAATGATGTATATTTGTATAAAATATAACTGTATAATATTTCACTATAATGTATAATAAATGTAAGATAAGATTATTCGACTTTTAATTAAATTGCTTGCGTTGCAAAGAGATCATGTTTAAAAATATTACTATTATATTTTTTACATTCGTTAATTTCTATAAAATTTTTACTTCACTTTAACAATATGTAAAATATCATGGATATTTAATTCACACAACCTTAAGCTGCAAACTTTCATTCAATTGTGACGTCTTATTCGTATTTCACTATCACATTGAAAAAAATTTCCAAAAAGCTATTATTATTTATATTTATATCTTCGAAATAAGAAGAACATATAAGAAAAGTCACATCGAATTACGTAACGTAATAGCAAACTGGATGATAGCATGGATTCGTGCTATTTTAGAACATCGTGCCTCGAAGCATTCAACATTTTCTAGTTCCCTGGAATTAAATTCAAGCGAGTTCACGCATGACCGGTAATCAGAATTGGCAACGCTTATCAGAAATTGTAGCGTAATCAGACATCACTAATGGCGTAGAATGCGCGCGAGCGCTCCGATACGAGCAGCTTTCTTTTCTACTTGTAAGTGAAGATGCAAGAACCAGTATCTGCGTTCACCAGCGACCACGGCAAACTGGTATTTTGCCAACTAGTAATCGGGCGAAACGATGCTCCAATAATCCAATCCTATCCTATCTAACGGAATGGTATAATGTTGCTTTACCTTTAGGCTAAAATTATTTAAAAGATGTATCTTTGAAAAAAGATAAGAAAACTCGGCAAAATTTTGCTTACAGAACATGTGTGAGCAAATAAGAATGATTGTCACAAAATGTATCGTATATCCAATTTTATTTATTCGTTTAAAACTGCCATGCCATAAAAACCAACCGAACGTATATAACGTTAAATGCCGAGTACACTGAGAATAGTTTGTCGATTCAATTATCATAATTCGTATGTATATTTGTGCGACAACGAAAGCATTACACCTTTAACGCTTTTATTTATGAATGTTTGGTTGCACAAAAACAAAAAAAGAAAAAAAAATCCAGTGAAAGAGATTTCAAGTGACAGTGGTTTCGAGGTTAGTAGAACACGCGGAAAGTTTCATTATATAGTTCGTTTTGTTCGTACGTAAACAAAGCGAGCCATTTCGAGATAGCCACAAAATCGATGGAGGGGAGTCGTGTTCATCCGTACTTTCTTCGAACGAGCATCGATCGCTTATAAAAAAAAAAAAGGAACGATGCCAAAGAGAAAGGACATAGGCAGATACCGAGAGATGCAGCGCAAATGGCGATTTAAAGAGAAGAAGAGCGAGCGATAGTAGCGGCAACATAGGCAAGTGGCGCATCCAGTTGTTCGGAACAATATTGCTATTTTCAGCGATTAGACTTGTTAGGCTAGTTGATAGAAGATGTTAAGCGAGAAGAAATGTGTGGCTAGAAGAGCCCTTGCTACGTCACTGCGGAGCCCCGTGACACACATCCATGAGCCGAAATATAACGGTACATTTCTTGGTGACCTACTCTTCGCCTCTGGACGCGCTCTCTCTTCCTCCTTTCTTCTCGAGCCTCCTCTCCTCTCCCTCCAACTCTGTCGGTCAACCGCACGAGTCGAACGCGATCGCGTATACACGCAAAGGACACTTGCCGCTGTATAAGTACTTTTACCAGTTTTGCCAACGCACGCGACGCCGGCTGATTACACGCTCAGTAATGAAAGCGTCCTCCTCGCGCGCGGAGGTGCTGTCATGTAGCCTCTGTCCTTTTTTTACGCTAGTGAAAACGCTATTGTGGGCGAAAAGTTCGTGCCATGTTCTCTTTTCCTACATAGAAAACGCTGCACCCATGTTTTCTATCAATGGCCGTGTAACCTATAGTGCCATTTTTTTCTTTCTTCCAATTTTTTCGCGATCGTGATCCGTATACAACGACAATTCTAGCGGATATTTCTTTCTCGTCGAAACGTTGCTGCAGTGTTTCTGAGCGTAAGAAAAGAAGAAACGTTTTACGAACTTTTCGTCCTTTGCAACAGATTCCTGTCGATTAACAGTGTGAAATACTCGGACCTAAACGGGTTGCAGGTCCAAATTGTGGATTAAACGTAAATCAAACGCGAGTTATGAATGTGATCGTGCATTTCGTCTTTCAGGTGAGTGATATTCGATTCGTTCTATTCATGTGTGATCGAGGTGTTACAATTATAATTTCGATTTAACCGTTTTTAAATCATGGTTCGTGCCAATTGACGACGAGACGAAGATTCGAAATGGAATGGATTTTGAGCGAAATTTCTCTGTAAATTTGCACAGGTGATCGTATATCAGCTTGTAACATGTCAAGGAGGTGGTGGACCAAGCACTTTCGGATACGACGCGTCCTCGGCTTGCAGTAAACCATATTCTCGGGCTGGTCGTGCCCGATTGTCGAATCTTCCTTGTGATTTTCGACGGCAAAACTGGTGCACGATAGCTGGTAGCTCTTATCCTTGGTAAGTTAATAGAATTATCTTTCTAACGAAACATTTAACCAAAGGGTTTGATTAGGCTTAAATTAAAAGTATTGTAAAATAATTTGATAATATTAAATAATATTTTGGATAAAAAATGAATGATTTTAGAAAGAGTATAATATAAGGTAATAATTTTTTTGTAGATGAATGCGTAGAAATGATATGAAGATCAAATTATTTTTTTAAATAGAATACGCGTTATTGTTGCATTGACAAATACAGCATATAAGTTTTTATAAAAAAATTACTAAGTCACAAAAAATCATTATTTCAAAAAAATAATTGAATATTTTTTGAATTAATGATTTTTCGACTAGCATAGCTTGGTACTTTTTCATAGAGAATGTTGAGCTGTATGCAAATGCATTAAAAAGCATAATCTCATTAAAAAAAAAAAGGTTCATAATTTTTTTATGCATTCATTTATAAAAAAATGAATATGACAAATATATGCGCTCTTTGAAACTATTCAATTTTTATTCGAAATTTTTTTTAATGTTATCAAAAAAAAAAAAAGAAATATTCAAGATAAATTCAATACTAAGGTAAGTATAAAGGTAAGTATCTTAGAATTAAGAAAACTGTTGAAAAAATGTTTAAAATCTCAAAAAGCTGTAAAAGGTAAGTATAAAAGGTAAGTATCTTTAAAATTAAAGAAAACTGATAAAAAAATGTATAAAAAAAATATCAAAAAAAAAGAAAATCACAGTTAAAGGTAAAGGTAAGTAAAGGTAAGTATATAAAAAGTATGTATCTCTAAAATTAAGAAAATGTTAAAAATTTGATAATTGAAAAAAAAATGATAGTTGTAACAGAATAAGTATATAAAATTCTAAAAAAATTCTTGGAATCGGAATTCTTGGAAAAATTTGTCGAACAACCTCCTTTCAATTTATATTTTCCTGATATAAAGTCAGATTTGAAATTTGAGCAAAAATTTTTGAACTTGGATGAAAATTCTTGGAATCGAACGAAAATTCTTGGAATCGGAATTCCTGGAAAAATTTATCGAACAATCTCTTTTCAACTTATGTTTTCCTAATACATTGTCGAAATTTTGGTCGGCAAAAATTTTTGTCTCAATTTACGATTTTGTAATAGGAGAATATAACAACATAGGAGGTGGCATGCGGAATTTTTCCCGCCTTTTTGAAATTTAAAATTTTTGAATTTCGATAAAATTTTTCGACCGGATTTCAAGATTTCGTATTAAGAGAATATAATTTGAAAAAAGGTGGTACATGAAAATTTTTTGATACTTACTTTTTTACTTATCTTTACATATCTTTTTCTGCTACCATATTTTCAAGAATTAAATATTTTTTTATCGTTTTACTTAATCTTAATTATGTAATTTTTGATACATTTATCTTATCTTATACTTACTTTTTGCATATTTTTATTTTATCATATTTTTGGAAAATACAAGAAGAAACATAATATTTTCATAATTTCATATATATATATCATATATATCATTAAATACTAGACATTTATGTATAATTTGAATTATGAGGTACAAAATTAAAATATTAATAATAATTGAAATCTAAATGAAATTTCATTATAAAATTTTAAATAATTGTCTGTTTTTGTCTCACTTGTTGTTATCGATTTGTATTTATTATTCTAATATTATAAAGATATATTATAAAGTTAAGAATCTATATCTTTATTTATATTTTTTATATTAAAAATTAAGATACATTATTTCTTCGAAAAAAAAATGATAAAAATGTATTCAATTGACTGTGCCTATAGTCGCGCATAAAGAACAAATAAAGAAAGAAAAAAGTGAAGAAAAAAGATAGGCTAAAAATATTGAAATCAACGCCATCTACAAAATGTACCGTAACTATAACACGAAAAGAAAGACTAGAGAATGGTAAAAGGAATTCTAGAGTAAGAATTGACATTTGGCGCCATCTTTCGTGTACTAAAAATATCTCTTCCAAAAATAAGATAAAGTAGAGTAAGAATTGAAAACTAATATTATTTTCTGAATAACAAAAATATATATTTAAAAATAGGATAAAGTAGAACATTCAAGTCATCAATTGTATCGCCAATAATTAATTTTCTATCTTATCCTGCTTTTGAGAAATTGAAAATTCAGGAGATGATAACGATCAATTTTCGTTCTCTTTTTAATTCTCTGATATATATTTACATTCTTATATGTTGTAGAAATTATTATTGCATATACTATTACATTTTATATGCAAATTCTATCCTAATAATATTGTTTTGATGAAATATATTTGAATCAGATAGATAAGTCAGATTGATTAAGAAGTTTCTGAGATCAGCGCCATCTCGCGTTTGGATCGTGGAAGCTCCGATTTGTTACTAGCAAAGCAGAATATATAAGGAGGTATACGAATTCGCTGACGTCACAGACAATGTACGAGAAGAATAGAAAACATTTTTCATATGACAAATTTATTAATTACTCGTTTCCTACTTAAAATTTCTGAACTTTTAAATTTGCATTTTGAAACTACATCTTCACACAAGTTTCTTATGTCAATTTTAATATAAAATTCTTTCTCATTAATTATTTATTAATGACTAACGCGTCATAGGAAATATTAATTAAATTTCAATATGGCGTCTTCAATATATAATAATTCCTATGACACGTTAATCGTTCATAAATAATTAATGGAAAAAAGTTTCATATTAAAATTGATACGAGAAACTTGTGTAAAGCTGTAGCTTCAAGATGCAAGCTTAAAAGTTCAAAAATTTTAAGTAGAAAACGAGTAATTAATAAATTTTTCATATGGCGTGATTAAAGATTCTTTCCATCCTTCTTGCACAATATTGCGTACCTTGTCTGTGACGTCACACAGTTCGTATACCTCCTTGTATATTCTGCTATGCTAGTAACAAGTCGGAGCTTCTGCGATCCAAACGCGAGATGGCGTTGCTTTCGAAAACTTTTTGATCGCTCTCTAATTTATCGACGAAATGTATATTGTCAACAATTATTAGAGTGAAAGATACAAATTTTTGGCTTTATAACGTATTTTTAGGATAGTGACTTTATAAAACATTTTTATACGCATACGTGGTGATAAATGAAACAAATAGTTATTTATAATTTATTATTAAAATTTGATTTAAATTCCAACTATTATTCACATTGCAATATTAAATGTTATGTTTATTCTGTACCTCACTTATACTGAAAGTTTCAAGTGAATTCATCCTCGTTATGAATTTTAAATAGAGTGTATGCTTCGATTATTAAAATCATACGTGACAGAACTACTAGAATATTGAGAAAGCGATGTAATTTTACTCTCGATAATGAATATACTCATTCGAAATATGATTGTTGTGATAATACGAAATATTCGAAATGATAGAAAGTGTTTTCAATCGAAATTTCATTTGTGTTAATATAATGTTAATATAATGAAATAAATTCAATATATTTATGATATAATTTTATCATAGGCATGCAGTTCGTCGTTTTGTACAAGAAAATCAAGGATTAATGAGACGCATGTACGGTGACGAAAGACATATTAACGTATTAAGAGCAGAATTTGAGAGAAATGACATAGAATTAAAATATGATGACTATTATCACCATTTTTCAGATGATCATAGGTAAGTCAAAGAATCGAAGATTTGATTCCCAATAATATAAATACTTTAAATAATCTTTTTCTTATTATAATATTATTTTTTAATCGATTATTCAACGACAATTTAGAAAATATCAATACGTTCACGATTACGAATATTTCGAGGCGGATGATGATATAAAATTGAACAACGAATTCAAGGACGAGGGACGAGGTTTTACGAGTAGATCATTCAACGATAACGTTGCAAAACGATTAAACAAATTTCCAAAATTAAGCGAATACACAAGACCTCATTTTCGACCAACCGAGAAAACCTCAACTGTTTCGACTTCAACGACTACAACAACCACTACTGCGCCACCTACAACTACCACTTCATCTACCAAGGAAAATTCATCAACAATATCCTCGACGACTGTTTCGACCACTCGTGAATCAACTACGAAAAATACTCCTTCGATGATAAGTTTGGTAAATAGCACAAACGAAGAGAAGAAAAACTCGTCAGACGAGATAACAACATCGCCTACAGTGACGAGTTCTTACACGGTGAAAGAGCAAAATTTCAGTATCAATGAAATTTCCGAACAAATAGACAGAATAGATGAAGTTGTCGAAGAAGCTGGCGAAGTCGTAGAAGTTTCTGAATCTAACATAGAGGAAACAACGACGATGAATTTTCCCGGTACGACCGAATTATCGGATGAACTCGATGGTAGCGAAGATTTATTCGCCACACCGAAAGAGACGACCGTTCAAGAGGAGGAGACATCCAACTCGAACGAGCAACAAGAGTTCAGGCCACGACCGGAATATCGACCCAATAAGCCGGAAGTTTCGACTATGGAAGGCCAGCTGTATCAGGATGTCGCGGCGAAAGATCAACAGGAACAACCGGTTCTCAAGCTTCGAGGAGTGTAAATGTCGTTTGTTTGTTTTGTTTTTGGATCGATCCAAAAATGTTTCATTTTTGTGCGAAAGAAGTTTGCACGATGAGTATAATTAAAATCAAAAGAGAGGCAATATAGTTATAATATAGTTATAAAGTATTTTTTTTGTAAACGATAAAAATATTTCAGGAATGCTTGTCCTGTAAAGGAGGAAGTGGTTGCACCATTTTGGGCGAATAATACACGAGGAGAGGTATTGGCGCTTTTGAATCTTTATCCCTTCGAGCAATACGTTCATTGGGAAAAATGCACGTAAGTTTATATTGAAATTATTTATTTTTATAAATTCTTGGACAATATTTTAAAAAAAAACTTTGTAATTTTATTTATTCAAAGGCATGAGAACAAGCAGATGTACTGTCGAGATGGATGCAGATGCGAGCAACAATATCGACTTCATCGGTTATTAGCTTATGACCCAAACAACGAATGCCGTGGTATTTTCAGCGACTGGTTTAAATTTCCAAGTTGCTGCGTTTGCCGTTGTTACGATTTGCCTCTTGAATTTCGCGTAACATCACGCTCTCCTCGCACTCAAAAGCAACGAATTAAAGTACAATCGCCTCGATACACGTAAAGAAACTAATTTTTTGGTCGATATGAAAGAAATTCTCTTAATTTCATATACTGAAAAACGTGAAATACGTAAATGTTTTGTTTTTATAATTTATTATTTGGATTAATGGATATAATAAAATTGAATCTTAAATTTAATTTAAGAACGGAGAAAAATTATTGTATTAATTTATGAATTTTTAAAATTTACGAATTTTTAAAAACTGAATGGCTCCAGCCTAGTCAAGAAATTTAGTCTTCGTTATTTTATTATAACAAGGAAGAAATTCTGTTTGATAGAATCCATTTGCCATAGCCATTTATAGCGTTATATTTTTCGAAATATATTTTGTAAATATAAATAATAAGATGAAAAAAATTATTCATGAAAAGAAGTATATATACGATATATTGTTTTGTTAGTAAACTGGTGCCTCGATTGTTATAAATGTCAATTTATATTATCATTTTTTCGATAAATATTAAGTTATTTATATGTTTGTATAGATATTTACACATACAAGTCAAAAATTGACTTAAACAATCATAATCGACAAACGTGTAAAATCAGAAAGAATATTATTGTTAATACTATATAAAATAAACATTTTTATAATTAAAAATTTTAATGAAATATAATATTTATATTTTGATTCTGTTTTCACTTCACGTTTTTCTTTACAGAATAATATTGTATTTTCATACTTTAGGACTTGCGTATATAATGTTGTTAAATATTTTTTACAAATAATCACAAATGAATAAGGCTCGTGAATGAAACTATATTATAAGCCATATCTTTGTTGCATTTATTCTATATGATTTTATTATTTACATTTGTAACATGTAAATCTCGGTAATGGATCATTACTTATATATTTTGTAACACTAAACCATATTATATACTTATTCATAATGTTAATAACCATAAGAGTATAATTATTTATTATATATGTAAGAATGCGAATTTTTATATGTTTTGTACTAAAAGAATATTGTGAAAATGATCAAATAACTGCCACTGTTATATTATATGGAATTTTTGTTATTATATTATTAAAAAAGTGAAAATTATAAAATTAATCTTGAATCTTTTGTATTACTTCTATCTTATCTTATCTTATTTGGTATTATTGATGAAAATAATAAGAAAGTTTTTCGTTAGAATCGACTTTATTTCCTTTCTCTCTTACATAGGACAACTTGTACGTTTTACAAGAAAGAAGACTTACAAACAATAACGAACGTCGATATTTGGGTATTCGCACGTGTTGCTGTAATAACCTCACACGAATACACCGAATCCATTCCTTACATCATACATATTAATCAATGTCACATATACATATATATTATATCATAATATTACAAAGATCGTATCATCTGTGTCGCGTTTCAAATATATGTATGTACATATCACGTATATATATGTACACACATATATTTCAATATATGTATTCTGTTAAGTTGTTTATACCATATTAAAAGACATATGCTTATAAATAGAAGTATATATGTATTTATAAATTACGAGCTAGAACATTTGGTATCAAAACCATTGCAAAAGAGAGGGAGGGGATCAGATGACACAATACGGTATTTTATATATTGTTAATTGTTTCCAAACAACATAGTTGGGTAATTGAAAAATTAGTCGCTATCGAATAACAAAAAAAACCATGTTTTGCTCATTCTTCTAATAATTATAAATAAATTACAAATTATATATAAAACAGATTCTCGAAGTGACCGGCAGACTTTTTTTTTTTTATTAATACATTGTAATTTTTGCGTATATATTATTTAACTGTTGAATAAATTTTAAATTGCGATATTAATTATTATTACGTACACGCAAGGGCAACTTCTATTTTTATAATTAAATTTTTTCAATTTTATCGTAATTTTTCATACCAAAAGTGTTATAAATCCCTTTAAATTTGTATCATATTTGACAATCAAGTGATATACTAACACGTGGCATATTCAATCCATACGATCGGTAAAAGATTTCAAAAATAGATAAGGATTTCGTGAAAGTAGTGTTATCATTATTGCATACGTATACATTCACATTAAAGTCGAAAAGTCATGAAGGTCTTTTTTTTTTAAAAAATATCTTCGGGGCAGTCGATGCGCGTGGCAGGAATAGACATAGGAAGACTCATTTTCTTTTTTCAACAGGAAACAGCGTGAAACTTGGACAGTTGGAACGTGTGTCAGGTTTATGTCGGTTATACGATATATCGGCATACGTAATTATTGAGCTACACATACAACTTGAATTTTATTTAAAATTCAAGCGAAACTCGCACACTGTAAATCGAATTTTAAATAATGCAATTATTATTGTATGAATAAAATAATGGATCACTGAAAAATATTCAAATAAGTCTTTTCAGAATAAAATTACGTCACAAATTTTTCGCCCTGTATAATTGTCCTAATTCAAAATTGAATTACAACTCGAAAAATAAAATTAATAACATTTCATACTTTAGTTAATAATATTTACATCACATTCGAATAAATTAATGCTCAATGAACAATCGATATTTGCCTCATTTCCGATATTCGGAATATTTCTAACCGCTAATTTCGTCCCTCATACCGTCTGAGCGTATATTCACCAATTCGTATAAAAAATATTTGCATCTTAATACAATCACAAATTTCATGCTGCTTATACGCGTCGATATACATATTGATCACAGATTTCTGAAATATCCTATCTGTTCAATGCTGTTAACAAAAGTAGTTTTTTTTTTTTTTTACTATAAAAAATGCTACAATTGCCACATCTGTGCTATGTTTATAAGTTAGTTAGTTATCGAGCACATATAGAAACATTACATTAATAGTATGTTATGCACGCATTCACTGTTAAAGCTTATGTATAGAAAGCATATTGGTGGGAAAAATCGGAATAAGTGATAGAAACAATAATTTTTTTTTTTATTACATAAATATACATTACACACGGTATTAGTATCGATGGATAATGGAATTGTGTTGGATTACAACCTTAATGATTAGAATGATGAAAATGCAAAAATTATTTTGTATAATAAATAAATATTTCTAATATATCTTTCTCTGTCTCGTTCGTAAATGTAATAATTCTCCATTTACAGAATAAAATTATTAGTAAATAATATTTGTAATGTTTTATAAATATACAGAAAAAAATAAAGAATAAAAACATATATATATATATAAGATTGAACATGCAAAATAAACGAAACGATTCGAACATGCTGGATAATCACTTAAGAAAACAAGAAAACACGTTTATTATTCTGCGAATAAACGATCAAGTTTATTGCTGATATTATATTAGGGTTTAACTATAAATAATAAATAAGTTTAAAAAGTAATAACTTAATAAGGGGAATTCTCTTTCATACGTGTGAATAATTTTTGTGTGTTTGTTCGTGGAAGCATTAGTGGGCAAACTGCGAACCAAATCGAGATAGAAAATTATCATTTAAGATTCGCCTTAAAAGTAAAAAAACGAAGAAATTTTCTCTTTATACAATCCATAATACATTACGCACAAATATGCTACATACGTATTTACAATACATTTATAAAATGTAATGTTATATTACCATAATATTATTAAATACATACCAATGAATATTATTTAAATAATATTACGTGTATAATATAACATTATTCAACAAAAAGAAAAAAAAATCATTTACAATCGAATTTTATCGAGTTCCTTTTCAACCTAAATATTCATTATATTCGATGACAATTAATATCTTTACAAAATAATTTTCCCACCACGATGCATTTTATTTTGTTTTCTTTTTTCTCTCTCTCTTTTTTTTTTATTTTATTATTTCTCTTCGCAACATGTACGTTTATTCTATTGCTCTGTTGTTAAATTATTTATATAACTTTCTCTACGAAGAATTCATCTGCGAGAATAATAACGAGAAAGTTGAATAAATATTTTGGCAGTGAATGCGTTTTATAAACCAACGATACAACCGTGTATTCCGATTTTTTTCGCTTGTAAATAGAAATCTCAACAACCTATGGAGCATAGTATTTCTTCCTCTACTAGTTGCACAATAATTATTAAAAAAAATTTTCCCCAACTCTATTTCCGACAAAATAGATACAGACTTGATTGATGATTGATCGATTTGTAAATCAGTCTAAGTTAATCTGCACTTAACAATTATTAGCAATTCCATTTTATAATAATGCACTCTGTGTATGTAAAAAGACAACGATAGAAACGCGATTATTGAAAGAAGAACTAGAAATGCCGCTCTCTGTAACCTAACTTTTTTTTACAAAATTTCCTTCCAATTCTAATATTATTAGCTATTCTTTTCATCGATCTTTTCAGCGCACGATTTTCTTTTTCACAATTATATTTCACTGTTTCTTTTTTGAAAGAAAGAAAAAACTTTTTTATATAAATAATAATTCACAAGTATTTAAAAATTTACACGAGAACTTGAACGAACTATAACGAACGAACTGTTATTTATCGACGACTATCTCGATATTCTGCACTGAAAAATACTTCTAAAATCTGATTTAACTAAACTCGCAGCACTGTTACCTTTGTTACAATAGTTTTTTTCTTTTTTTTCTTAAAGAAGGATGAATTTCGTTATCGATGAGGTAATACTTCGATTCGAAGACGGTTCTACCGACGAGGAAGAGAGACGAAGAAGACAGTTTGCATGCCCGGTCAATAAATATTGATATTTAGCGAGAAAAATTAAATTTTAAAATCTTTAGAAGAACAATGCCTTTCTTCGTTACGTTCGAAAACGAAAGCTCGGCAAGTAAACTGTTTTTTCCCGCAATAACGTAAAAACGTGCGATACAAATATAGAATATAGAAAAATATATATAAAGATAGAGCGTGGGTATAACATGAGATATCAAGACGATAGAATTTCGATCGGAACATAGACAGTGATACTGCGAGGAGAAATTCGTTAATAGGAAATAGAATACTATTGAAGACTAGTCGCGATCATCGTTTGAATAAATTGCTATCAGAACCCATCGATCTGTATCCGCGCATTCTTCAAACCCAATCGCCATGCTCTGCTTCTCGTCCACGTAATATATATATATATCACCATAAACGCTTCAATGATCAGTAATCAATGCTTGTTTTACTATCGTATACCTAATTGTTTTTTAGTGTGATCTAGCACGCGCGTCTTAAAATACTTTTATTATATTCGTATTTCGAGATTAAATTAAATTTACGTAAATTTGCATCATTTTGATTTTCAAACGTGATTTCATGAAAGTTCAAAAAAATTTGTAAACAAGTTGAGAGCATTTGAAAATTTTTCCATTCAAACGTTATCTATCTCGAAATTAAATTGAATACAAAAAATTGGGAATATATTTTTCATTTTTCTTTTTTATCTTTACGCGCACCAGTGCTATTGTTGTATATGGTTATTAAATGGATCAGAATCACGTGCTTATGAAAAATAGTAAAAGTGCGTAGTTAAATATATATGTATGTATATATATATATAACATTTATGTATAGTATATATATATAAGTATTGCCCAAAATATGAGTTTCGTACTATGTACGTATATGTATAATAGTAATAATATAGAAGGATTGTGAAATTGATATGTCATCATCGAAGCAGTTACACATGTATCACAGTGCTGTGATTTAAAATAATTGTTAATACAAAATTAATCTTTTCTCCCTCCTCCTTCGATACTGCTCACTTTTTCTCTCTCTCTCTCTCTCTCTCGTATTATTTTTGGCATTTATCCTTCGCCCTCGACCTATCTTAATTTTTCATTCATTCAAAAATTATGTTTAATTTATATATATCAACAATATTTCTTTTTTTTTCTTTTTTTTTACATTAGAATATTTGGAAAAAAAGTTTTTTTTGGAAGAGAACATAAAAGATGCACTTTTTTTTGCAACTCTCCACAAATGAATCTTACCCGTTATACAATGTTCTTATGCAAAGTTTTATCATTTCTATCAGTTCTATCTAAAGAATCTAAAGATCGATATTAATTATATTTACAATCTTTTTTTTTAATTAACAAA